GTGTGTGGTGTGTGGTGTGTGTGGTGTGTGTGGAGTGTGTGGTGTGTGGGGGGTGTGGGGAGTGTGTGGTGTGTGTGGGGTATGAGGTGTGTGTGGCATGTGTGTGACGTGTGTGTGGAGTGTGTGGTGTGTGGTGTGTGTGGGGTGTGTGGTGTGTGTGGAGTGTGTGGTGTGTGGTGTGTATGGGGTGAGTGTGGTGTGTGTGGGGTATGAGGTGTGTGTGGCATGTGTGTGAAATGTGTGTGGTGTGTGTGGAGTGTGCGGTGTGTGGAGGGTGTGTGGTGTGTGTGGGGTGAGTGTGGGGTGTGTGGGTTATGAGGTGTGTGTGGCATGTGTGTGGTGTGTGTGGGGTGTGTGGTGTGTGTGGCATGTGTGGGGTGAGTGTGTGGCATGTGTGGGGTGAGTGTGTGGGGTGTGTGGGGTGTGTGGTGTGAGTGTGAGTGTACACGTGCATTCTACCCAAGTTTCCTTTCTCCCGTGTGGTGTGTGTGTAGTGTGAGCATGTGGCGTGTGTGGGGTGAGTGTGTGGTGTGTGTGGCGTGTATGGACTATGGTATGTGTGTGGGGTGTGTGTGAGCGCGAGTGTACACATGCATTCCACCCACGTTTCCTCTCTTCCCGGGTAGGTCTTGTCAGTGTCAGACCCAACGCTCCCTTTCTCTCTGGAAATAAAACTCTTCGATAACAAAACCCAACCCGCGTGAATTTGGGAGGATGCGCGTGTGTCCTGGTCAGAAGGACCACAGAAGGGAAGCGGCGGGCCTGTAAGAGCCACCTGTCCCCTGGCTGTCCCGGCGTCCTAGGGCACAGCAGTCGCGGCAGCTCCCTGGATTTCTGTGAGCATGGGGGCCGCAGGCGTGCTGTGCGGACCCTTTGCCTCCAGGGTGTTGCCACTGAGCGTGTCCTTCCTGAAAGAGTGAACAATTCTTGACACATTTCTAAGGGAAATCTTCTTCCTAAGGGCATCTAAGGGATGCCTTCTTGAGAAGTGCAGAGTGTGTTAAACACGTGGGGGTCAAGCACGCCCTCTGCAGATAAAACCAGGGTCTCCACAAGCCTTGCAGGTGCAGCTTGGCGGAGGGGACCATCCCAGAGGAAGTCTCTGCATCCCTGGCGAGCAAAATTGCCAGGCTAGTGACAAGGAGGAGACCTGCCCGCGGCGCCCTGAGGGTGCTGTGCCCGGGAAGTGCCCTCTACAGGGGACCCTCCTCCCAAGGTGGGGGCGGGGCTGCCCTCTGCTGGCGACGCGGAGCATTGCGGCTCGGTCCTGGGACATCCCCCGGAGACGGGGAGGGCGGGGAGCTTGGACCTTGTCTTCCAGGAGAAGGTGGGCGAGAGGCTGGCACAGGCCGTTCCCCAGCAGGCAGTTTGCAGACAGCTGCACAGCCAGCACGTTCTTTCAGTGGGAAGAAGTGAAATTGACCAGGCCTGTTCTTTCGAATGTCAATGCAAATTAAATGGACAAATCTCTCCTGCAGGCTGCTTTTAAGGGGTTTCACCTGTTACATTCTAAACCAAGCATCACTTCCATCAATTTAGGAAGAATGTTGTATCCTAACTGTAACTTTCCTTCTGTTTTCATTTGCAAATGCCAGGTGTCCTAATTCAAGCACTACATCTGACTATACTCATCATTTTTGAAATACTAGACTGAAATAGACAGGTTTGCCCCGAATGGTTTGGGACACCTGTTAATAGAAATCAAGTTCTTGAGCCTTGGAAAGATGACTTACCTGGGCAA